CGAGGAGGAGGAGGAGGAGGAGGAGGAGGACGAGGAGGACGAGGAGGAGGAGGAGGAGGAGAAGGCGGAGGAAGATGGCGGGGAGGAGGGGGAGGATGTCGACGAGGAGGAAGATTCGGAGGAGGAGGAGGAGGTCGGGGAGGAGAAGGACGACGATGTCCGGGAGGAGGGGGAGGATGTCGAGGAGGAGGAGGGGGAGGAGGAGGACGAGGAGGAGGAGAAGGAGGAGGAGGAGAAGACGGAGGAAGATGGCGGGGAGGAGGGGGAGGATGTCGACGAGGAGGAGGACGAGGAGGTCGGGGAGGAGAAGGACGACGATGTCGGACGATGTCGGGGAGGAGGGGGAGGATGTTGAGGAGGAGGAGGAGGAGGAGGAGGAGGAGGAGGAGGAGGAGGAGGAGGTCGACGAAGGAGGAGGAGGAGGAAAAGATTAAAAAAAAAAATCCAATCGAAAAAAACAGAGAAATTTGAATTGGATCTTGTTTACGGTATCAAGATCCAATCGATTCGATTTTTTTCGATTGGATATTCTTTCTTCTTTGCGTCTGTTTTTTTTTCTCATTCGTTGTCCGATTAAAAAAAAACAACAAACACAAAAAAATGACAATAAAAGGGGAGGAGGAGGAGGAGGAGGAGGGGTAGGAGGAGGAGGAGGATGTCGTGGAGGAGGAGGAGGAGGAGGAGGAGGAGAATGCAGTGGACCAATGATGATGACGATGAGGAGGAGGAGGAGGGGTAGGAGAAGGAGGAGGAGGAGGAGGAAGAGGAGGAGGTGAAGGAGGAGGAGGACGAGGAGGAGGAGGAGGTGGAGGACGAGGAGGACGATTGAACTTCGTTTTTTTTTGTTTTTTTATTATTTTTATTTTTATTTTTATTGAGTGTGCGAAAAAAAAAAAAAAAAACAGCAACAAAGAAACTCCGACTATAAAAGTTGAGGACCTTGGAAGAGGAGGAGGAGGAGGAGGAGGAGGAGGATGTCGAGGATGTCGAGGAGGTGGAGGAGGTGGAGGAGGAGGAGGAGGAGGACGACTTCTTCAATGCGGTGCAATTGGCTGCTACCCTTTTGGGAGAAGATGTAAGGGCAGGATGAGGGAAGCATGTAGAGAAGAAGGGTTTGCGGAATGTGCTCATAGAGTGCAACCGAATGATGACAACGGTCCACGGAGAGTTGTCTTGGCACTCGAGACACTGGTTCTGGGTAGAGAGAGGTGTCCCCCTCGTACGCGGCACACAGACGGATCACAATAAAACCATCCGCAATGAACTGCGTTGCCAGATGAGCAAAGACAAAACGTGGAGGAGGAAGGACGACGAGCCATGGGGAGCGTCGCATTTCAAGAGGGCACTCACAAAAGTGTTCCAAATAAGAAAAGACGGTGAGAAATTGGGCGTGACGTTGCAGCAACTAGCGTTTACCGAACTTGTGATCCGCACAGAAAAATCGACCAGACGAAGAAGTCAAGCAAGGTGTCGGATCAGTTGCTGCAAATGACCAGTATAAAGAATGACATAGTGAACACAGCCCGGAGACGGGACACAGTTATGAGTTTCTGCATTTTCAAGCTCTACACCGATACCCACGTGGCAGATGTGGCGACACGGTACTAGAGAGCAGGAAACACAAGGAGAGACATGCATGCGGTTGATAACAACATCGACAACGCACAGGAGTTTGAATTCGAACTGTTGGTGCCACACACACAATCACGAGCTTCGTGCTGAGGACCTTGGAAACCCGTCCCGGACTGGCACTCCTGTGCTTCAGATAGATGACGCATGGTGAACGACGTGGTGGTACTTCGTGTCTGCAACTCCTACCACAGGAAGACGTAGAGAGAGAAGGAGAGAGAGAGAGACAGAGAGAGAGAGAGAGAGAGAGAGAGAGAGAGAGAGAGAGAGAGAGAGAGAGTCTCTAGGTGAGAGAGAGAGAGAGAGAGAGAGAGAGAGAGAGAGAGAGAGAGAGAGAGAGAGAGAGAGAGAGAGAGAGAGAGA